CCCCCCCCCCCCCCCGGGAACAAAATATATATTGAACGATAACCGGGATGCATAGCTGAGCTGTATACGCGTCCGTGTCATCCAATTTCACACCGATGATCCATTTGAAACACGGAAACAAAATATAATCGCAATTAAACCTAGGAGGATGGATGATCATAGAAAGACGACGAATTTTGTTTGTCTGTGCGCGTGCAGAGAAGAGAAGACATAACTGGAACACATACACATAAAGAACGCAGATGGGGAAATAACGGTGTAACCGGAATAAAAACAGCACGAGATCGAACGGACGACAATAACAATACATTAGACGAGGAAAACTGTGAAGCACATATCCAGTAAAGCAGGTTGAGGTAATTGGGTGAACACAGTGAAGCGAACAGCACAACGTCCGTAAATCGAAGCATACACCTGGGAGCCATCCTCACAGTCCTCGCATTCAACCATCTGCCCCACCCAACCCCAAAAAAGAAATCAAGTCTGACTGAGTGAGTGATAGTCCAATCCGCAGTCGTAATTGGTATCCTAAGGGTTTGCTCTCGTTTTTCAACACGTACCAGCTTTCTTGTCTCAATGACGAATAGCCGCTCAATAGTCTGTGACCCGAATCCAATACACACACATACACAACTCACCTGTCGGAACAGACTATTGCGATTAGGAAAGACCAAGGTGGCGAGGCAGTGTTGTGTATATTGAAGTTGAAGGACAGGGCGGGATAGAAGTGAGGGAATCGGACTGAACAACACACACAAAAACAAGTGGTATCAGACAACGCAGAAGCGGAGAACAGACGGAGTGAGAATATCCCGATGAGAAAAGTGAATGCGGATGGTCCCGTTGGGCGAGGGGTCTCAGTTGCACACCATCAACGGATGGAGCTAGCTGTAACCACAACATGCGGAAGTATGTGGGCCGAGTTGCGAGGACTTAGCAATGCACAACATGCCAAATCAGAGCAACATCACAATCATCAATGTGACAGGTCAAGAGAGAGAGAGAGAGAGAGAGAGAGAAGCCCGATCGGTCGGGCAACCGAATAGACGGGGATGGCAATGGGAAAACAACAGACCGAGTGAGTGAAATAACTGACAGTCTAGTTCGCTTCGGACGAGGAGCACCGCTGCCTTTCGAATGGCGAGCACGAGCGACAGAGAGAGAGAGAGAGGGATAAAGATTGCACCTCGTGGAAACAAAAACACATGCAGATAGGAGTCAGTTGTTTGTTTGTGTGTGTATGCATATACATATATATATATATATATATGTGTGTGTGTGTGTCTGTATGTGCGGCAGAGAATGGGGGATTGTAGTAACCACATGATGCTTATTAGGTGGAGTACGGAGAGGGAAATGTGGGGAAAGAAAGACAAAACACTGGACAATACACACACACGTGCGCGTGGGCAAAAGTAACGGTGACCAGGGCAGAATGACAGTCAACAGAACGGGACAAAACGAGAGACAGAAGACAACTCCAATGGAAGAATGTGTGTGTGTGTGTGTGTGTGTGTGTGTGTGTGTGTGTGTGTGTGTGTNAGGAGTGACACGGTGGCACGATCAGCCGCATCATCATCATCATCATCAGTTCCGACTGTCAAGGAAGGCAGCTGCAGCAGCTAGAGATGATCACGTCAACAACCGGTGTACGGGAATGAAAGACTGTGATCCACGGTAACGGGCCTCGAACAGCAAATGCGATTGCAAGTGACATCAATCACGATGCGAACCGGTTCAGCCCCGCACGACTGAAACGAGCATTGTGAGAATGCGAAGCATGGTCTGACCAGCAAGCGGGGAACAATTGGCGGACCAGGTTAAGGGCACCATTAGGTATTGCTCGAGGCGCGCAGCCGATCTGTGGACGAACGAACTTCTTCAACAGTGATCGTGGAGGATGGACTTGGTTGTACGGTCAGTACATGTTGCAAACTGAATGCAACTAGGAGAGTAGCTATGGCAAACAGACAAAGAAGAAGACAAGCCCACTTTCGTTCACTTAATCGGAACCAGGATTGACCACGCCGAGTGCCCGAATGGTGGTGGTGATGTTGTTGCTGCTGCGATTGTTGCTGAGACTGTGATGGGACCGACTGTATAACGGAACTGGTCATATATCCAGACGATTTGGGTGAGTGTTGCGAGTTGGTTACTGATCCACCTGGGCCAACACGACGACGCCATGGAGACGATGCCGAACTGTTGGATGCATTTTGGGGAGCGGTTAATCCAGTGGAAAACGGAGCTCGGCCGACGGAGAACGGGCCGCTGGCACCACTGGAACTGGACGGACACTTCGAGTTGGTACTCGTCGAGCTACATCGAGTCCATATGGAACGGAAAATGGCTGTTGGCGATAAAAACCAAGAATTGGATTGCGTGGTATCTTTATCCAATTTACTTAACACCGTAGTGTGCAGATGTGACGCAGAAACATCGATATTTTGGCTTAATTTGGAGTCTTGACTGCTTCGGGTCGTGAAAACCACACTGTGAGAGAATTGTCCGGGCAATTCGGAAATTTGCAAATCCGGATTGGTTACGAGTTCTCGTTGCCACTGATCGATCAGTTGCGACTCATCGGTCTGTATGATGGAGATGAGAAACAGGATTTGTTGAAACCAACGAACCAACCAAACCAAGGGCATACTAATGAATCATGCATGGATCTTCTCCACGAAACGAATGCACTAAATCAGGTGCGAAAGTAAGTGAGGTGTGGAAACATAAAAAAGACATTGTCCGACCGACACATATGGCGTGCATATGGAATACAGAAGACGAATTTACAAATGACAACTGTTCACTTCGACAATATCACATTAGTTGCTCTGTACCAGATTCCCCAACACATAAATTCGGCTATCCGATCGGGAACACCGAATGAGCGAGATGATAATCACCTCGATTTCATTCACACCACTACCTTGAATGACCAGCTGCTCTCTCCCACCCACCCCTCTCCCCTAGTGAGTTGGAGCAGCCTGTACAACCGAATATCAGACAGTCTCTGATAAAACAACGTCAGGTCCACACACACACACACACACACACACACACACACACACACAAATAGACAAATGAAGTGAATTAAGAAATGTAGTAGTATAACCCATGTGTGTGTGATGCACGGGATTGGGTTCAGCCAGGGAAGGCCAAGAGTGTGGGTTTGTTGTGAGCGATCGATAATGCCTCGAGTATCCTTAGTCGGTGTTTGTCTCGATGACGTAACAAAACCGAGAACTTTCAACCAAGTGACGTGCGATGGCTGAAGTCGGTCTGCGTGATGCGGTCGGAGTGTGTGGTGTGGGCTGTCATAGAGTCACGCACATACTTGGGGATGTGTTCAGTCATTCTAGTTCGCAGTGATCGGTTGGTTCTACCAATGTATGCTTCGTTGCAACTGCAACAGAAGGTGTAAATGCAATGAGAGGTAGACTCGATTGGGTGATCTTTGAATGGGGTGATGGGGAGGTGACGTGGGTGATGTAATCTATCAGCACATTAGGTTCTTTGTAACTCGTTTTTTGATTCGCTGTGTGATAAACTACAGCTCTGCTCGTCCCAACAAATAACCAGGCAGTGTCGTGTATCACTGTGCACTGTGTGCTCCTCTCTCGCTGTCACTAGCCAGAAACACTCACTTACTCGGTCACCCGATCATGTGCTCCGATCGCATCCAACACGCCATTTTTATTCGAACGCATAGACCAGCACAACGCTATTCTGACTCCAATGACTACGTTTACGTGACTGTATGAGAAGCTTGGACGGGGATGGAATCCCCATGCCCATTCGAATTTCGGTTGAATTTCCGTCCCCGCCCGGGGGGGGAGGTATTCCGGTGTTTTCTTTTTATTGGTTGCGTACAACGGACAGTTGTCCAATTGGTCACATCGTACTGTGGCCAGGTGCAATCTGATCGCATTGTGTTGTGTATTACAATTACCGGACTGTTCTAGCAATCCGGACTCAGCCATGTTCAAGAATCGTGATACAGTGAAGGATGGATGAATGGTTAGTTGTGTAACGACCGTGCGCGCTAACTGCCGCTACTCGAGACTGAAGAACAAATAAAAACAAAATAATAATAAACGGAAAATAAGAGCGAATAATGGATAACTAAAATGACACATGAAGTATGGGTCGGTCAGTTTGCATTCATTGCACGCGATTGATGTTTCTTCCACGTGTAAGAGAGTACAAAAACAGTCGCCCAATGGAAGTCTACTACAAGTGGAGCTGTACGTTACCCAAACACATTTCTAGGTTGAGAGAATAACGACTACGGAAACAGTACCGTATTATGGGTCAATAGAGGCGACATATAAGCACGTACTGGATTGGATGTTCCCTTCATAAACGACCTTTCTGGAAGAGAGGTCTTTAGAACACAGCGCGAAAGGTAAGAACTTGACCCGAAAGACAGTAAGGTCATCAGTGCGGCATGGTGACTTGACAGACAGAACTCGACTGTGCAAGGACTGAAGTTACCCATGTAAAGAACGAAGGACAAGTGGTACTGGGGATTGTTCTGTATTTTCAAGTACATTCGCGGACTTCTACTGACGTAGAAGCTAGTTCTTACTTTACTTTACTGCGGCTGGCTCTTTGGAAGGGATAAGCCGGCTCCAGACGTGATCATGATAATGAAGTTCCTCAGGAGTTTGGTACGATAAACGTCCCCAGCGTCACTCGGCGTTTTTTTTATTTTGAGTGCGCACCTCTAGCTTTTGCAGAACCAAGTGCGTACTGCAAACCAGCAGGAAGTAATCCCTCGCCTCAGAAGTGACGGGATCTATGACTTCAGTTTCAAAAGGTCAGTCACATCGACCTTTGTCACGACAACGTTGTTGGGCTTATGCAACTTTTGAACAGGAGCCAGATAACTAGCCTGAAACCCACCACACTCTGGTGGTGCCACCGCTGTTTGTTTGCGATTGCTTATTTATTGCGGTATACCGCAACTTATTCACAACTAACCTTCTTCGGTGCAGGTATCCCCCTATCCAAAACCCGAAACGCGCCTGGTAGCATTCAGCTCTGCTTAAACAGAGAGAAGTCAAGTCCTTGCAGTAAAAATACAACATATATACAATATATACTATATATATATATATATATATATATATATATATATATTCACACACGTCTGAAAGCATGGTGCAATAATCTTTATCAAAAAGAAAAACGTTCCATGAGTTGCATGTGGGCGGAAAACTGCCCGGTAGATGAATTTGGCTAGCCAAAGCCTGGCCCGCAAGGCAGCGGGACGATGTGTGAAAACCGGAATCATTCCCTGTAAGCTGACTTCGACCGGTAAATCGAGGGAGACGGGTTGAGGTCACAGATGAAATCAACTTTTCGCGTCAAACCAT